CACGTATTCCTTAATTAGGATAAATTATAACAAGAACGGTAAGCAACCATGCATGACCAAATAAGCAGCAAATGAAATATATCTCTAGTAAATATAAAACGCTCGGTTTTTGTATTTTTCTCGTTCTCTAGAAGCCTAAATATAAAGACCAAGTTTCTATGTCATACCTATTTATTTTTAGTCACTTGATTATTCATATGTATTTCGCAATTTTGTGCGTCATATATTATTTAGTCATGGTCTGTCGGTCTTTGAAAATCTCACTATAAAAGGCTTAAGTTTTCAATGAAAACTTCAGTTTCATATATTCAGGCTTCTTTGGCTATCAATAAAACAATAAATGGCTGTTAAAGATATATTCTTTAACATAGTTAGTGTCATTGTACCAGGTAAATATATTTATATGAATATAACTTAATTTTTGAAAAAAAATTCTTAATCTTTCAGGTGGTATAAGCAAAAAGAAAAAAACGTCTGATGATAGTTTGGATAAGTTAAAAGAAGAAGTATCGATCGATGAACATATTATTCTGTTAGAAGAACTTATTGATCGCTTGGACACCGATGTCGAAAACGGTTTGACATCAGAAAAAGCTCGGCAATTGCTTATAAAACATGGTCCGAACTCATTGACACCACCAACTGAAGTTCCAGAATGGATCAAATTCTGTAAATTACTTTTCGGTGGTTTCTCAGCTCTATTGTGGGTAAATAAATCTTATTTTAATATATTTTAAAAACTCTTCTAAACTAAATCAAATAAAAACAAAATCATAGGTCGCAGCTCTTCTTTGCATTATTGCTTATGCTGCTTCTGTCGCATCAGATCCAACTACAACCAAAGATAATTTATGGTTGGGTATTGCTCTATTGATTGTCGTCATTGTCACAGCAATATTTGCCTATTATCAAGAATCAAAAGCAGGAAAGATTATGGAATCATTTAAACAAATGGTTTGTTTCTTTGTCTTTTTTTAATCATATTTTGTCAATTGAAGTTAGTTACATTTAGGTTCCTCAACATGCCAATGTATTGCGTGATGGTCAAAAAGTAGAAATATCTGCCGAAGACTTAGTTGTTGGTGATATTGTTTTCATCAAAGTTGGAGATAAAACTCCTGCAGGTAATTTGTATTATTGTTTTCTTTTTTAGTTCAAAAGAAAACCAGAGAAAAAAATAATAAAATTGATTTTATTTTTCATTGTGAATGATTTGGATTTGTATAGATATTCGAATCCTATCATCACAAGGTTTTAAAGTAGACAATTCATCATTAACGGGTGAAAGTGAACCATTAACCCGTTCACCTGATTGTACTGATCACAATCCATTAGAAACAAAAAATCTTGCTTTCTATAGTACGTTTGCCGTTGAAGGTAAAATTAATTTTGTAATTTTTTTTATGTTGCTATATTCTTCTATTGAAGGTTCGTGCACTGGTTTGGTTATTCGCACGGGTGATAATACTGTTATGGGTAGAATAGCTAAATTAGGTAAGAATTTTATGTAAAGATTCTTATAATGGGAGTAGCAGAGTGATGAAACGACAACAGAACGAACAAAAAGAAAAAAAACATCTTTCACCAGGAATTTAACTTGGCATACTCTGTTTCTGACTAAATGCACTACCATCACACTATATAGAAAAGAAATTCTCTGTTCGTCTTATAAACGGAGAGAAAAACTTCGAATTTAAGAAAGAAATTTTTACAAATCAAGTCAATATTTATAACTATCTTCAGTTCATCATTCTGCAGATCCGCAACAGAGTTGTAAACCGCTGAAATACGACGTAGTTAATGCATGAATTTCGAACGTTTTCATCATAATTCGTCATCCTGTCCTATGAGCCATATTTTCACTAGAGAGTGGTCTTAGTTTTTCTTACTATTTTTGTCGTAATAGCACATTAAAGAAAATGGCGACGTAAGAGTACCGCTTTTCGCCGTCCCATAGTATTAACAGATGTTGATGATACTATCATCATCTGTAGATGAATGTTCATTAAAAATGAATTCTCTGTAGAATAATATCACGTTTTCACTCCTGTGACCTGTTCTCAAGTACAATAAATTGCTCAATTATAATCGAACAATTTTTCATATCTATGCTTATATATATGTATCCCTTTAAAAAAGCAAAATATTTTGAAACGTTAAGATCTGATATACTGTCGGATCGGGTGCCGGATATGATCTCAAATCCAGAGTCTATCCGGCTATTTTTTATTATCCGATACTTAATTCAGTTGCAGAACACAATTCAAGTTCAACCTTTTTTAATTAATTGTGAAAAACTCGACTACCAAGAAAAGAAAAGAATTTCTATGTTTTTACAAAGTAATCGATTAATACAATGGATTTTTATTTTGTTTTTGTTTCCAGCTCAATTAAAAATTAACTTTACGCTTGACGCAAGTTTCTAGATAAAATAAAAATATCATGTAATAAAACAACATATTAGTCGAATTCATTTAGATTTTTTTTAATCTTTGCAAACAATCGACTTTAAAAAGGAATTCGAAATATTATTTTTGATTAAATAAAATAATATTTTTGCGATGAAACTATTCTAACTTCATTTATCAACACATTTGCCTTCTTTTTTTAAACTTCTTATTAAAAAATTCTTCTAATACTGAAAAGATGGAATTTCTAAAAAGAAGAAAATAAATTAACTAAAATGAATTTTCTTTAATTATTTTGAGTATTTTTTTAAATAAATGGAAAAGAAATCAAGAAAGTTTGTTTTTGAACAATTTAATTGGTTTTATCAAATTGATATTGATTGATGTGATTTAAAAAATATTTATTTTTATTTTATTTTATTTTTTCTCATTCATATAAAATAGCCAGTAGTGTTAGTAATGAAGTATCTCCGTTAAATGTTGAAATAAATCATTTTGTTCATATGGTAACAATAGTGGCTATTACTTTTGGAATTATATTTTTAATTGTTTTAATAAGTCTTAATATGGGTGTTTTACGTGCCATTGTTTTTGTTATTGGTATTATTGTAGCAAATGTTCCTGAAGGTCTTTTAGCAACAATAACTGTCATGTTGGCATTAACTGCTCAAAGAATGGCTCGAAAAAAATGTTTAGTTAAAAATTTAACAGCTGTCGAAGCATTAGGAAGTGTTTCAGTAATTTGCTCTGATAAAACTGGAACATTAACACAAAATCGAATGACTGTAGCACATTTATGGTTAGATGGATCTATTGCTAGTGTTAATCTTTCACATACACATCCTGCTCAAGTAGTTTTTGAAAATCCAATAATTGATTCAACAGCTGATGAACAAGTTATTCAAATTGAACGAGATCGATCAAGTTATGAAGCTCTTTTAAGATGTGCTATGCTTTGCTCAAAAGCTGTTTTTAAGGTTTATTTTAAAAAGGATATAAAAGAAAAAAAAAATGATTTTTTAATTTTAGACTGATGAAGATAATTTAAATAAATCTCCACTACAAAGACTTGTCAAAGGTGATGCTAGTGAAACAGCTATTCTTCAATTTACTGAACTTGTTGTTGGCAATGTTGAAGATTATCGAGCAAAAAATCCTCGTGTTTGTGATATTCCATTTAATAGTACAAATAAATATCAAGTATCAATTCACGAAACCGACGATCAAGATCAACAATATTTACTTGTGGTATTTTTATTTTATTGATATATATTCGAAATCATTTCTTTTTTTTTTCAATTAGATGAAAGGTGCACCAGAGAGAATTGCTGAACGATGTTCGAAAATTTTTATTAATGATAATGAATATGATCTTGATGATGAATGGAGAGAGAGATTGGATGATGCATATATGACATTAGGTGGATTAGGTGAACGGGTTCTCGGATTTTGTGATTTACGTTTACCATTAGATCAATATCCTCGAGGATTTACATTCGAGTCGGATAATCCTAATTTTCCACTTGAAGATTTACGTTTTTTGGGTTTTGTAGCGATGATTGATCCACCACGACCTGGAGTTTCTGAAGCTGTACAAAAATGCCGTACAGCAGGTTAATAAATATTTAAGGTTTTCTTATACTTTTTGAAAATTTTCTTGAAACTTTTTCTAGGAATTAAAGTTATTATGGTTACAGGTGATCATCCTATTACAGCTAAAGCTATTGCAAAAAGTAAATCGATATTTATTAGTAGAAAAACTCATTTATGATTTATTATTTTCATAGGTGTTGGTATTATCACTTCAGATACAGGTTTTCTTTAAAAGATTTTCTAATAAATATATTATTTTGTTTCTATATTTAAAGCTGAAGATTTGGCTAATCGTTTTCATCTTCCTCTTGAAACAATTGATTCAAAAGATATTCGTTCAATTGTTTTATCTGGTTCGGAATTAGCTCAAATGTCATCAAAACAATTAGATGAAGTTCTTCTATCATACCGTGAAATCGTATTTGCTCGAACATCGCCTCAACAAAAATTAATTATTGTTGAAGGTTAGTTTTCATTATTTACTTATTAATAATAATTCTATGCGACGTATTGAAAAACATTCAACTCTCATCGATTTTAAGGAAAAAAAAATCTTCAAATTAGAAAATTGTACAATTAAAAATATCATTTAAAGAAATATTTTCATAAAATTAATTCAATTTAATTTTGTCATATTGAAATTCTTATTAAAATACCAGCTAATCCACTTTAGTAAAAATAAAATAATAAATTATCATTGTAAATGATATAAAAAAAGAAATACGAGAAAATGAATTTATTAAAAATGATTTTTATTCTTCGAATAATATTTAGAAAATTTTACTGATAAATTAACTCATTTCTCAATACCTTTCAAATTGAAATCCACTGAAAGAACACCATCAGATAATAAAGTAAATATGTCACCCCTTAAGTTTCATTTTCAATACATGAGAAGGATAGAGCACGAAATTTCACACACTTCTGTATATTTATTGTTATTGTGTACTGAAGGAAAAAAATTTTGTAAGCAAATCAGTTTTTTAGTACGTTTATCGGTTTTAAGTATTTCAAGTAATAACGGTAGTAAGAGCCTTGCACGGAATCGACCTGAAGAGAACGTAAGTCTTTTGCCAAAAACTCAGTCTCCGGATATGAACTTTTGGAATAGTAGCTTTTGTTCTTTGATATTTAGCTTAGGAATTGGTGCCTATTGTAAGGTTCAACGATATCTTATCAAAGCCTTTATACATAAAAGACAATATGGATAGAAAAAAATCAGAAGTAAATTTAACTCTGACTTTCTTTAGTGCTAGGATGCCTCTATAAGACATTGTTGGAACTTCCAAAATGCATCAGTTTGCACAGCAAAATTCATATGTGAGAAGTGAATCTTCGGCTAAAAATTTAGTTGACTTTGATTTAACTGCAAAATTGATTCCATACAGGGCTCTAATGATGGTATATGGAATTTTTTCTTTCCTAAATTCAATATAAAATTAACAGTGTCAATAGATGCTATTTTTCACGCTCAGTAAAGTGCCATATTAAACTTGATCATTGATAATTTCTCTCATTAGATAATACAGGGTCAAGCATGTTCGAAAGGTGTTATTCACATAGGATACAGATCATATTTCACTTTAAGATTTCGATGTCTAATTTGGTTTTTGAATACAACAAGATTTTACACCACAGTGAAATGTGATCTGTGTAATATGCGAATAGAATCTTTCGAATACGCTTGATCCTGTATATTCTAATGAGGGACATATCCAACTGTTGGGCGTCATTCGATCCCATCTTTTGGCTGTGAATAGAGCTCCGCGAGGCTAAGAAGACTCTAAAAGAGTTCGTCCTCATGGCATACCTGGAAAGAGATTTCATTGCCACAGAAAAGAAATTATCGGAAGGGAAGTCATAAAAACTATACTTCTGAACATCTTTTGTGCTGATATATAAATTGGTCGGCTAATGTCTATCAACCTATCACGTTGTTGCATAGATATATGTATATATACGTTTTCTAAGCTATATAGCGCGGAAGTATATAAAAGTCTGCCGAAATTCCACTGGTAATTCCACTGAAAAGTTTCATGCATTGCTTTTTTCAAAGAATTTTCTTTGTGTTTGTTAAAAGAGATTTTTTAAATTCGTATACAAAAACAAAAATAAAAATATTTGATGAATTTATTTTGTGTAAAAAGAAAAACTTTTGAGTTAAAACTTGTTTTAATATTAGTGCCGTAATCAGTCAATGATTAGAGAAGGTCATTCTTCACTTTCAGAACGCGTTTAGCTCTTCCTTACAAACGGTTGAGTTCCGCTTAACAAAAGAGTTTGATTTCTTTCTAAAACATTTGTCAAAAGATCTTCGCTCCGTGACGGATATGGAATAGGGGATTGTGCCTTCTACACCTGTTTTTTTGTGGGTACGCCGCTATTTAATAATCAAAATAATGAAATTTTATCTGAAAAAACATCGTTTCAAAACGCATAATCAGTTTTACTTCTCTGAAAACATTTAAAAGTTTTTTTTTTGAAACAAAAATTATTTGTTTAATCGAAAAAGCTTTTTTTTCAAAAAAAAATATTAGTAAGAAGAGACGAAGTCGAATAAATGCTAACCTTTATTGATTCCGAAAAAAAAAAATTCAATTTCGAGGATGCCTTTTTCAGCAGTCAATTTTCTATGTAATATTTAATTTATTCGTTATTTCATCTTGATTGTACAATAGACCGTAGAACAACTGGAGTATTTTGTTTTTCAATATTTCTAATGAACAAGAAGTCTTGACGACATATTTACAGTGGCAGAACCAAGATTTTGCGTTACAGGATGGAGGGGATGGCTGAGTCCTCTCTACTCCTTCCCTCATCTTCCATGTTGCATATTATAACGTGAACTGAAGTAAACTTGGGTTAATCATCTATAAATAATTGAAAGATTTATTTGTTCGATCGATTTTTCTTAATTTTTCATTTAAAAACACCAACACGAGAAAATATTTTTCGAAGATAAAAATAATTAGAGATTGATTTCTATTTAACAGAGATTAATTTAACATTTGATTTGGTAATTTGTATTTTAATGAAATTTGTTGAGAACTAGTCAATAAGGTTTTTTTTCAAAATAGGTTGTCAAAGACTACAATGGATTGTTGGTGTTACTGGTGATGGTGTTAACGACTCACCGGCTCTTAAAAAAGCTGATATTGGAATATCAATGGGTAAGAGATTGTTTTTAAGGATACTTCTTTACTTTAATCACATCTGCATACTGATTGTCGTGATTTACAACAGAATACTGCGTGAACATGAGGGTGTTGTGATTAAAGTGAAGAAGAATCAAATTATTATTAAGATAATAATTGAATTTATTCTATGAAGGTTATCGAAATATGAGACAGTATCTAAAGAAAAATCTTTCTACAAAAATTAATCAAATTGAAATATTTGAAATGAATATTGTATTTTAAAATGTTATTTATTAATAGAAATAATTTTTGAGAAATTTTTAATTATATTTTAGAATTCAAGTCTAAGAAAATTTATCAACGAAGATTTTTTTATTTAATTGATCGAATGTGCATTTCCATTAGATTTGAGCAAATCACTTCATAGACTTAATTCTATTCATTTAACTTAGTATCCGTACAATCGAATAAAGTACGGCTAGAAATTATTCTCAAGTTCAAAGTAGCAATATGGTGATTGAACTTTTTCTGTGCTGGTCGGAACCAAGTAGGCTTATGCACAGAATTCGATCATCGGATTTCTTCTCCTCATTTTCGACAATTTTTTGTACACATATGAAACCTTTCCATTATGAACTCACGAGTTTATGCGTCTTAATCATACAGTTGAAGACATACAGATCGACTTAAGCAAGAAAATTAGTCAAATTGATAGAATTTAGAGGAAGTATTACGAACCAGAATGTTTTAGAATTTCTTCGATGACTTCCAATCAACTTGTTTTTTTTTTCGCAGATAAAATGTTAAAAGTCACTGGACGTATCTATATATATTCCGATATATAATACTACTTTTAAATTTCATGTTTCCAAAATTTTCCTTGTTGAATACGCTGATTATCCCGCATCTTTTCGAGTAAATATATTTTCTTTCGACGACCAGAATCAACGTGCTAGCAAGTCAAAGTAGAGATTTCACAAAAAGAATTTTCTTAATGATTGAAGTAACTCATGATTCTTTTTTGTTTCTTATGGAAGTGCTGAAAAATTCGTTATTGATTGTTAATATCATTATAATAAACTGAAACAATTTCAATTTGATTAAAATTACAGAAGTATTTCAGGAAAAAAAAAGAATTAATTGTTGAATAAAACAAACAAAATAGCTTTTGACTTTATTTAAAACTAATCATAAGAAATAAGAGAATAATTGATTTTTTCTTACTGATATAGGATGAATTAGTTGAACAATCATTTCTATGTTAGATTTTTAATAGTAACGATTTTTTTCATAGATTTCAATTTGAATTATAGTTTGAAACTGTTTTATAAAATTGAAAAAAAAATTTATGTACAAATGACAAATATTATTCTTGAAATCAGCAAATCTTTCCTTTTAATTTGTTATTCTGAAGAAAACTTCGACAACAATTCAATTCGAAATTGATGGGCTTATTACTTATTGTGATCTAACGAACTGTCACAAAAGTAATTCTGCACACAAGTTCTTTGTTTCAATCATTGTTTAGCTTATTTCATCTGAAATAGAATGATCCCTATCGATGAGTTTTATTTCCATTAGTTTTCATAAAAGATTAATTCTACACAAATAAAATTCAAACCTTGGTTTCGAATCTTATTTATATTTTTTTTTAATTGATCATATACAACATAATTAAATTTTTCTAAGACGGTTTTAGATTTCTTTTTTGTTGTCGTTTACGATAGAAAATTTGAACATGCGCAAAGAGTATTGAAATGGACAAAAAACATGCTTGTTTGAGAAAAATGCTTTTTTTCCTATTTTTATTGTCGAATCCGTTCAAACTATGTCTCTCTTATTTGCCGTTGAAAATTCAGCATAAGAGTTATATTTTATAGATATTAAAGTCAACTATTCATCCAATGTGGTGTTATTGAACCGCCGTACTACGGTTCGCTAGTATTCAGCTTTACAAACTTATCTAGTTTGTTAGACGAAGAGATGAAGTTAAGCATCTTCCTTTACTTGAATCTTTCAAAAAAAAACTTTAACAATATTCATTTAGTTTTTATAAATATGGTGTTATTATTGAGAAAATGTAAACTTTCCATTTAAAGGAAAAAATTTCGCAAAAATTGATAACACAACCAATCAGTTTGCCCAGGGGCATGTCAGAAACGAGTAAAATGAATTTCATAGTCGGTATCAGATGTCCATCGCGGTTGAAAACTGACCGCTGCCGCGCCGCGACGATAAAAGAAAAAAGCTAACGCACCGCCACAGCACCGCAGTGATAAAAACAGAAAACCTACCGCACCGCTGCCGCGATGATTGTTAGAATAATGTTGTGAATTTTACGATCTGTGACTGTTCAAGACTTGAGCTGTTGTTACCAATCGATAAGATTCGTTGAATCTCATATTTTTGCACTTGCAAACATTGAAATTCTGTTCGAATTCATGCTTTTTTGCATTGTTCTCCAAAAAACCTACCGCTACCGCGCTGCTGCCGCGATAGTTAGTTAAAAAAACGACCGCTGCCGCGCCGCACCGCGATGGTTATTTGAAAAAAACAACCGCTACAGCGGCAGCAGTCGCGCCGCAATGGACATCTCTGGTCGGTATCAACCTAAACAAGTGCATTGAACCGCGTAGATCTCATTGAAAAACTTATTCCACTAGAAATTCTTCTGTACTCCTCATCAAGTCACTTTTTGGAAAAGCTTCGCCTATGATATCTACCCGCAGTGCGTTTTTGTTAGGAAAAATTTTTCGGCGAGACTTATACGCTCTTATCCTCAGTTATAGATGACAAATAAGAGAAAGATACAGTTTGAAAAGCTTTGACAATAAAAATTAAGTTTTTCCCAAATGAGCATGTTTTTTTTTTATCGGTTTGAATCCTACGAGCTTTTCCAAGGTTTCTCTCTAAAAGACGATAGAAAAAAAACCGAAAAATCACATATTCGGGATCAACGCGTCGGACTCTATCAAACATTATATGCATAAAACGAAAAACCGTTTTCAGTCAAGCTTTGCATTACCCACATCTTCCATTTTTGAAATTTTATTTTATTTTTCGTAATAGAAACCACAAAACATTTTATTAATTTTTGAATGAAAATTATTGATGAATCGTTCCTTTGAAATTAATAATCACATTTGAATAAATATAATTGTAAATTTTAGGTATATCTGGTTCTGATGTCAGTAAACAAGTGGCAGATATGATTTTATTGGATGACAATTTTGCAACAATAGTTGCTGGTGTTGCTGAAGGTCGACTTATGTTTGATAATTTGAAAAAAGTTATTGCTTATACATTCACAAAAAATTTATGTCAACTTTTACCTTTTCTTCTCTATGCAATTGTTGATATTCCACTTGCATTAAGTACGATAACTATATTATGTATTGATTTAGGAACTGATATTGTACCTAGTATAACATTTGCCTATGAAAAAGCAGAAGGAGATCTTTTAGTGAGTTTATTCGTATTGAAATCTAATACCTTTCTTTTTTCTTATTTCAAGTAAATTGTTTAGGAGCGACCGCCGAGAAAAAGAACTGATAAAATGTGTACTATTAAGTTGATTACACTTTGTTATGGACAAATGGCCATGATTGAAGCAAGTGGCGCATTTTTTGCTTTTTTTGTTGTTATGGCTGAAAATGGTTGGTGGCCATCAAGATTACTTGGAATACGAGATGCATGGGATTCACCTGCTGTTAATGATCTTCGTGATAGTTATGGTCAAGACTGGACATATGAACAAAGGTAAATTATTCAGAAGATTTTAATTTTTTCATTTAAATTTAAATTAGACGAAATCTCGACTTGGCTGCACAATCTGCATATTTTATTGGCATTGTTATAACACAAATTGGAAATTTACTTGGAAATAAAACAGCTCGTCAATCAATATTTGACAAAAGCTTTTTTCGAAATAAATTAATGTTATTGTCTATTATATTTGCCATTGGTCTTGCTTGTTTTCTTCTTTATATTCCATCACTTAATCAAGCACTTAATCTTGCACCAAATCGATTTCTGTGGTGGTTACCATCTATTCCTTTCTTTTTATATTTATTAGCATTTAATGAAATACGAAAGTTTTTTATTCGAAAATTTCCAGGTCGATTTCCATCACGACAACTCACTTTTTGAAACTTTTTTACTTTTTTAATTATTCAAGCTAATTTCAACTTTTATTATAAAATAAACACGCACGTTCAAATAATCCTAAAGAGATTTTGTCACAATAATTTTATTAGATCAACAAGAATATCAAAAATCAATTTAATCATTCACTTAAACTTCAATGATTCAATTGTATTTCAAACCAAACAGACAAATAGTTCTATTCATGTATAAACCGCTCTATCAAAAATCTTTTCCGATTATGTTTGATTAACTTCTTTTCGATCATTAAGGTCAATGAAAACATTTGAAAGTAATCAGGGTGTGCACCAACAGTAAAAATTACTTAGACTTCATTGACCGTCAATAAACACCTAATGGAAAACTTTTTAATTTGTTTTATTTCTTTCTATCTTATGCTAAATTTGAATTTGTTCAGAAAAGAGAGAACTTTACTTGTATCGGCATAATATAAAAAAACGAAAATCATTTTCATTACATTCTATATGGTAGTAAATGAAAGAATATGGTTTCAAGTTTCGTTTTAAAAAATGAGTCATTTTATTTCTTTTGAATACTGACGGAATTAGAAAGAATAAAAAAAAAATCGAAATCAAACAATACAATTACATTAATGCAAAATAATGATTTCTTGAAAGTCAATATTTGTATATCTTTATTTTATACTAACAAATCACACACCATTGGTCTTTACATTTACAGATTTGATCCATTGTTTTCTTATGTTTAGAGCAAATAAAAACTAGTGTGTTTTGATCTAACATATTAATAATGAATAATTCTGTCGTAATCATTTGAATTAATGTATCAACGATTGCAAAGGCTATCAATAAAATCATCATAAATAACAAGCAATATTTCTATTCATATGACTTCTAGAATAATTTATATTCAACATTATTTTATTTTCTTGAGCGATTCATGTTTAACTTTTATCGCACATAATTTTTGTAATACTGAAGCGTTTGAAGTTGACGACAGTTTTCATTAGATAAAGCAATCAATAATAGATTTGAAACCGAGCTTCGAATAGGCTGGAGCTCTCAAAAAAATTTCTCATCCCATCTCATACCATTTCATGGGAGAACTTGTTTAGTAAAAAGATTTTTTTAAAGATTCCGTCGACTTGCATGACTTTCTCAAACAAGCGTATCAATATCTCTCTCTTTGCTCTGGTTTCGACAATGTATTTGTCATTTAATTTTATGGAACTCAGATAGATTTTTGAAGAAAACAGTGAGTGTAAATTTTAAGCTCAAATTTCGCGGCTCCCTTTTCTTTCACTCCTCCATTACAGACACTTAGCAACGCAGTCCTCATTACAGCCACTCACTTTTACAGACCATCCATTATGGACAATCCCACATTACAGACCTTAACAAGTAGTTTTAAATCTTTTGAGTATTCTAGCTTATGAAAAATACATGAGTTCTACATTTCAGACCCAAAAAAGCTGTGCTAACAAGCTTTTTTTTTTATAAAAATCATAGAAGTTCTACTATTTTTCTCCAAAACAAAATTGTAGATCTAAGGTATTAAGATCACTTTGACTTCACTGGATCCCACCCAAATCCAAGATCCATTTCTTCTCTTAGAGGTTTTCAATTCCTTATCTCTAAGCGTTAGAAAGTAATAATGGTTTCTCTCCAGCGCATGTTTTATCCATGGACCATCAGAAGTTGATGAGTTTTTGAAATTTCCCAGATGGTTCAGGATTACTGAAGATGTTTTTTATGTTCTGGCACCATCTGATAGATTTCTTGAGGTTTTGGTGATATTTAGTAAAGTGTATAATATTTGGGATTCATTAGAATCTATCTAAATTTTATATTCATCGGTTACTTTCGCAAGCCGAAACTTGTAAATTATTGGGTTGAAAATTGGTTTAAAATAAAGACTTTGTATAACCATGTATATTTTTATTCATATAATCAATAGCTATGGTGGGAAAGCATTAGAAAATATAAACTAGTTTTCAGCACATAGAGGTCCATAGAAATATTTTTAGTTTTCGTTATTTAAACTTATGTAAAAAGATTTGAAAAAATCTGTGCTGAAGAAAAACACGAACAATAAGAGTATAACAAATTCTATTACCGGTTGTTCTGTAGAGTACCTTAAGAGAGAGTCTATGAAATCACTACCCAAAACAGTAGGAGTCGGTAAGCGAAATATTTTGGTTTTTGCAATGCGTTTGCTATTTTGAAAGACCATCAAAAGTCACTTAGAAATCCAAATTTTGACTGCTTCTGGACAATGTCTTCTAATACTTTGACCAACGAATAGTTTTCACCTAAAATATCGGTCTGTGAAAATCTATGACTTTTCGATCATTTTTGTTTATTCATTTTCTTTCTCGTAAAAATTTCATCAAAACCATTGTCAATTTGCCCCAACAGATAGAGCAGAAACTTCTCTAGAAAATCGTATAATTCATATACCTCGTTACTTACGTCGTAAACCAAACAAAATCCATTATACTAGGTGAAATCAACCATTTTGGAGTCTATTTTACATGCTTTGTTTTACCATTCTTGCGTCTCTTACGCAGCTAATTTTTAAAAGCGTAAGGTAGATTTTATATAGCTTTGTAGAGCGTCAAAAGACGCAACTATTGGTGGGAAAATGCTGTTTACATTGTATTAGCCGCTTTCCAGAAAGTCCATGGCAATGTGGCTCAAAATACATCATTTTTTGTATTTTCATGAAAATGTATATATCGTTTTTTTTTAATTTAAAAATCGATTATTTTCGAGAAAGTCTAAGTTGTAGGAAAGAAGTTCTAGAAAGTCATTTTCAACACGTTCAAAGCGTTATGCCCTTAGTTTTTCTGCTGATAATATTAACAAATGAACAAATAATTGGTTTCAAATATCTCGTACCGTATCGTTCCTCAATTGTAACTCATAAAATATTTATTGAACTGAAGATTTTACTAATAATATAATATAAAACAGTGATTCTGGATAGAGTGAATATACCTGACATTTTTTCTGTAGAAAACCATAGGTGTCTGTAGTCATAATATCAATATAATGATTATAACTTATTATTCAATCAATTTGTCGAAATTTTCTCCAATTTATACACATTGTTGTGTCACTATTGCACCATCATTTCATATGCATTCTGCAAATATCTGCATAAATTTTTCGAAAGAAGTCACATTGAAATTATATAGTTTGTTATCAATCATATGGTTATCAGAATACTGCAAGAGTACAATTTTTTCTTTTAGTATCCAACGCGAATAGAAATCATTTACTTGTACCTATTAATTTTGTATCAAAACCCAGGTATGGATGCGGGTACCTGATCCATGGATTACATTACTCGTATCATTATTATATGTTTTCTTCGTCTTTTGAATGAATTAGAATGTTGATGACTGATGAATTGTTATCAGAAGACGGAATTTCTCAATATCTTCAATACTTTTTTACATATTATGGCAATGAACCATATATTCGTTTCGTACTATATTTCGATTAGTCTTTTATTTATTTATTTCTTCGGATGGACTTGATGATAGTGGAGTTGGTATATTTTTGTTTCAGCTCTTTTTATTGCAATCAAATCAAAATTCTATCAAGTTACTACTTATCTTTATCCAAATGATTTTGTTACTTCTATATTAGTTTCACTGATAATAATATTTTATTAATGTGTCAGTTTTATAAAACGAGATTTACATGTATGATGAGTGTGAATATAGGTGACAATCAACGAAAGATCTACCTGCACACATACACCCTTATTTTCATTGTCATTTATTATGTCACTATCAATTGATCAGAAAAGAATTGTTTAGATTTTTGGATTTGAGATTTTTCAATGAAAACAAAATACGAAAAACAAGTTGATCAATAGAGTTAACTATCAATTGAAAGCACAATTGTGTTTTTACTTCACGAATAGGAAATGAGAGCAAAGCTTCTTTTTCCTAGAAACACTTTTAATGTTGCTAAACTGAGGTAATATAGTAGTCAATAAGGATGATGATAAATTGTACATATCACTGATCACGGTTTATTCAATGAAAAAAGATTTTCTTCTTCATCGAATTTGAAATATGAAAAAAAAGCTTTTATATCAAATAAAAAGGGGAAAAGCTGAAGAGGTGACAATCCTAGTGTGGACTGTGGGTAGAATATGCTATCCAGATGCATGAAGCAGTGATTCTTCTGTTCACCGAGATTCCTACAGACACTCACACCCGATCAACTACAGAAATCAGACTTTCCTCAGAGCGTTTCTTTCACAGTGATTGATGCAATGGTACAATGTGAACATTTAATTATGATAACATGTATTTATTACAAGTCCTAAACAAAAAATCTACGATCAACAAATTTCTTATTGTTAATCAATGATCGTTATTCAGTGTCATCTATGTCGCCAGTATCATATGCAGTGTTCTTTTGATTGGTCATTAAACACAGAGGATTCTAACTTCATTGGTTGTCGAATAACGTTCATTTCGTTTTTGTTTTGTTCGTTTTTGATTGATTTTCCACCACCTGGGACTCGTCGTTCGTCAACTATTTGTTTAAGTTAAATATTATTGTTCCAGAAAGATTTCATTCTCATGACTCATCAAGGAGATGAAAATGAAGCTGGTGAAGAAGGTATTTAAAAAAAAGAAGTTGATTTATATGTTCGATATGAATCAAATTATTTGTTTTAGAAATCGATATTGACACATTGGAATTACCACCCTTACCTGAACATATTCAAGCTCTTTTAACACCTAAATATCGTCTTGTGATCACTAAAATTGAAATAAATAATTTTAAATCATTTGCTGGTCGTATTCAACTTGATCAATTTGATGAAGTATGAAAATATAAAGTTGTTTGATAATTTTTGATGTATTTTATTTTCTAGCATTTTACATGTATTATCGGACCGAATGGTAGTGGTATGTATTCATATAATCTATCATATTAAATATTATTTTTCTAAAATAGGTAAAAGTAATGTAATCGATTCACTTCTCTTTGTTA